GCCTCTGCTCAGTAACATAACCATAACATACGGTTTCATTAAACAAAAAGGCTAACAGTTCGTTTTGCAGCGAGTCATCATAGGGACTGTTTCCCGTAAGACTCACATTTAGCACGTGTTGCTTGTATTGCTGTTAACTTTAAACAAACAACACGATTCACATTACTCACACTCTTACTGTAATTAGTGATTACATCAACAATTAATGTTGGACACCTAGTTGGGCTTGCCAAAATCACCCTACAGTTTTATTAAACAAATAATCAAATATGCTAACAGTTTATTTTGCCGAAAGCTATAGCTAACGAATAATTGTTTTTAGTGCCTTTAATACGGTTAGAAGCTATCATAAGCTAACAGGTGATTGTTTGTATTGCCTTAAGACTATCATAGTTAACGTTAGCTAATCACACTTCATTTCAAGACACCGGAATTGTTATTAATGTTAAAAAAATAAAACTTTAAAAGCACTTCACATTACTCACACTCACATGTGCGTTGTCATTCATATTAATGTCTCCTGCTCGCTAGGTGGCAGTGTAACTAAAAGCTTTTTGCGATCCGCCTTTTAAAAAAGAGAAGGAGGGCCCAGAAACTGCGGCTCAGAAACTGCGGTCTGCGAGGCTGCAGCTTCATACTACTCGTCTGCTTCATACTATTGGAGGGGGGGGAGGGGTATATCCATTTCTGATAGTGTTACGTTATTATGAGAGTGCTCTGTTTGATTCTGAAATTGTATATTTATATAAAATATTTACGTGTGTTTGTCTGTGTCCGTGTCCGCATATGTAGCCTGTTAATGTCTCATTATACCGCACTGTGAATGAATCAAAGTAAATATATAAGTGGTCATGAACACATCTGTCCATCAGACTGAGTGCTGCTGAGCCTCCTGTCATCATTAATGGACGTCTCTTTAAAATGACCGCTCAGAGGAGAGGAGTTCTCATTTCTCTAACCGCCTGCTGCTTCCCCTCCTCTCTCCTCGGTTCCCCTTCTCGGCTCCTCCGCTCGCATCTCCTGTGGGCGGGACTAAGTCTTGAGGATAGGAGTCGAGGATAGGAGTCGAGGAGGGGAGTTAGAGAAAGAAAGGGCCCTAACATGTATTGTTGTTGTTGTTAGCATCTGGTGCTAGCTAGCTGCACTAACGGATATAAGGAGCTGTTTAAATGAAAACAGAGGAGTGACATTTCGCCGACAACTGCGCCGAGCACTTCACTTCATGCAGGCAGCCAGACAGTGGGACATTGTGGGAAAAGTCAGCACGGAAAGTGCGCGCAACATGATTGCAGCGTCCAGGCAGCTCCCGTTCGAGCATATGCCTTGACTTAATTTGCGATTAATCGCGATTAAATATTTTAATCGACTGA